CGGCCACTTCAGCATTTACAGAAAGAGTATTCTCTGTTATGAACGCAAAGTGGCGGGACGACAGGAATAAAGCTTCATTAAAACTAATTAAAAATGAACTTTTAGTTTACTTAAATCTTTGTTTGCCATGTTTAGAGGCTATTAATGTATTTAAGAGCGACAGCAATTTGTTACTGGCTGATGGGTGTAACAAAAAATATGTTTTTAAAAACAAAAAATTAATTACTTTATTTTTATGCCAAGTAATTTTTTTTTTGAACCTTGTAGTCGAGAAATACTTTATGTAAAGCCTGAAAAGGTGGCAACCCTATCCGTGACCCCTAAAGTTAACGGTCAACGGGTAATTCCCTGGCAATGGTAACTCACCTGGCGTAGCAAAAGCGTACACTTTAACGTCGGGATATTTAGGCTTAATTTTAAGTGCCAGCAAACATGCTACTCCAGCACCCAAGCTGTGACCAGTTAATATCAAATCATATTCAGGGTATAACGATCGGGCTTTGTCCAATATATTTGTCTCCTTTAGTCTACGATAAATGTAATTTGCTCCTTCGATCATGCCCTTATGTGCCATGGTGTCGGGCGGTAATCCTTCAGCTTCGAATTGATCTGATCCAGCAGTTAAATCGGTAAAAATGTCCCTCAATGATATTGAACCCCTAACTGCCACCACTATGCTTGACGTTTTGTGATCGGTGATTATACAAAACGGCAACTGAAATTTATAATTATTGTATTAATAAATAAAAAAATGTACCTTCAAATCTAATTTCTCAATGAAAGGGGAGTGATTGATTAATTATAGTATAAAAATGATTATATTAAGTCGAGGATCTTATCACCATTTTATTGTACAATTAATTTTATATATTTGTTGAAAAAATTCAGGCAGGCAAACGAATCTTTTTTAAAGGGTAGTTTGTGTTTTTATAGCATAAACTTAAAAGAGGATGTTATTTTGATATTAAACTTCAAGTTTATGTATCTATATTAGATGAAATGTAAATATAATGAAAATACTAAATACTAAAAATTGTTTTACTTGAATTTTCGTTGCCTATTTAATTCTTTTATACACTCTTGGCGAGTTGGGAACCCAACATTAAAGATATTCTATTCTATATCTTTTGAAAAACACAATGTAGAGTAAGAAAATTCGTACATATACGTACCTTCAACCATCTTCTATTATTAGTAATTTATTGTAATATAAGTCCAATAAACGCAATTTAAAGATTTTCGGGTGTTACGGTTGGCTTAAAAGGATTTCAGGGTTTAGTTATATTTTCGGTAGTGTATCTTAAATAAAATCCTATAAAGAAATGTATAATTTCTGATTTTGATGAATGTTTTGCCTTACCTGTATACCTAAAGTCTATATGATTTTGTGCACTAAAGTAATACGTAGGCAATGAAAAATATTTGTAACAAGGAGGGGCTTTTCTGCGAGGTCTTCTGGCGGTAAAATCCAGGCAAGTTAATTTAACTTGCTCATTCTGATTAATGATATAATTAAATAGAAAAGTGGCTGACAGAAAATCAGAAAAAGCGATTAATTACTAAGGATACTACGCCGTAAAAATATAAGGAGCAATCAATAAAAAAATAAACGTGGTGAAACAAGACGCTACCTATTCCAGTAACGATTATTTCTTTTATTTTCCAAAAAAAAAAAAGGAACATCAATCTTAAGATATACCTTTAATTAGATCATCCATAAGTGCACCCAGAGGTCTAATTAGAAAAGACAGGAAACGTTTCAATGTAAAATTAGTTAATTAAAAAGAAGATGCGGATAAGCTTAGCTAATGTATTGTTCTCAAACTAGGAAATCGATAACCTTGTTGGAACTAAAGGAAAGGAGATGCGATTAAAAAGCCGAGTAAAATGTATCTCCTCAAGTATTTCATCACAAAGGATCAAAAGCATTATTTTTACTGTTTTCTTTCTATCTACCTATCAGTAACACCTCAATTGATAAAAAAATTCACATTTGATCACAAGATTTATTATAAAGTTTGCAATAATTGGAGCAATGATACTGTTATGTTGTATTAGAAATATTAATAAAAAATATGAGTTCCTAGCATAATACGAGGGTGGATTGATAAGTTTCCGGCCTAACCAAGAGATGACGCCACTAGGCCTACCTTGAGGTGACATTCTATAGTACCATCCTTGGATAGCTTGTAGCTATAGTTTCAGCCCGATCTCCTTGCTAGTGTAGGTTTGACAGCACGCTGAACAAGACGCCTCTGTGGTTTTCGTAAAAATGGAAAAGCAGGAAAATCGTGCTGTCATCAAATACTTTTATTTGAAGGGGTTAACGCCGAAGGAGATTAAAAAAGAGATGGACTCAACACTGGGGACATCCTCCCCGTCATATTCAACCGTTAAGCAGTGGGTTTCCGAGTTTAAAAAGGGTCGTGTGAGCACCTCTGATGGGCCTCGCTCAGGACGCCCCGTTGAGGTCACAACTCCAGATATGATCGAAAAAATTCATCAAATAGTGCTGGGAGACCGCAGATTGAAAGTGCGTGAGATAGCTGAGACCTGTAAGATGTCATATGAACGTGTGCAACATATTTTGCACCAACATTTGCATATGGAAAAGCTCTGTGCAAGATGGGTGCCGCGTTTGCTAACAGTCGACCAAAAATTGATTCGAAAAAACATTTCTACCGCAAATTTGTCATTGTATAAGCGTAATCCAAGCGAATTTTTGCGTCGATTCGTAACCGTTGACGAAACGTGGGTCCACCACTACACTCCTGAAACCAAAGAACAGTCTAAACAGTGGATTGGACCAGGGGAACCAACTCCAAAGAAGGCAAAAACAATTTTTTCGGCGAACAAGGTTATGGCTACTGTTTTTTGGGATGCAAGAGGTATTATATACATTGATTACCTTGCAAAGGGTAATACTATCACTGGTCAATACTACGCAGACTTATTGCAACGTTTGAGCCACGAGGTGAAAATTAAACGACCTCATCTGGCGAAGAAAAAAATCTTGTTTCATCACGATAACGCACCAGCGCACACGTCAATCGTTGCGACGGCTAAAATCAACGATCTAAAGTTTGAATTGATGCCGCACCCTCCTTACTCTCCAGACCTAGCCCCGAGTGACTATTTTCTGTTCCCTAATCTCAAAAAATGGCTTGGCGGTAAGAGATTTGCGGACAATGAAGAAGTAATCGAAGCTGTAAATGGTTATTTTGAGGAGCTTGACGAATCAGTCTATAGAGATGGCATTAATAGACTGGAACACCGCTATGAGAAATGTATCAGCCTTGGAGGAGATTATGTTGAGAAATAAAAAAAAAAATTTTTAAAAACCTTGTTTTTCTTGGTCAGGCCGGAAACTTATCAATCCACCCTCGTATGTATACTTTCATGAAAAACCAGCAATTAGGTGTACGTAATGAATGCATAGAGTTAATTGATTAAAATTGGGTATCAATATACTTATACTTAGATTAGACCGTAAACGACTTTAGAGTTTAGCAAGACAACTAAACCAACTTCTTTAAAGATGAAGAACGAATTCTATTTCTCCTAAATGTAGGTTCTGGGATGTGTTCTCTACTTCTAGATACTTTAAGTCATTCAAACTGAATGGCACTTTTACAGGTTTATTTTTTCGTGTTATTATTTTTATGTACTTTTTGATATTCCGTCATCAATTTTTACAGAATAGAAGTAGTTTATTAGTGATAGAACTCTTTCCCCATTTCCTCTCTACCCCGCCACCCTTTCTGATACATCCCTGCTGAATGTTGTACAAGTGGGTAAGGCAAAACGTTCACCGAACATAGATAAAAAGTAAAATACCTCAAAAGCTTTCAATTACATTTATCAGACTTAATTATTTTGATTTAATGATTGCATGTAATAGAATATTCGTATGTTTGGTTTTCAATTCCTCTCTACTGTATGATTTCAATAATTAAATATAGAACTTACCTCAAAAACGTTGTTCCTGAACGATGCGAACAGTATATCTTCTTCCCTAAGTTTGGATATATCTTTAACCCCGGCTAAATTACATAAACAACAGTTATCGTCGGTAACAATGGTCGATTTTGTTCTAAAACAAGCACAGCAAGTGACTTGAGACATCAGGCGACATATTCCTGTTACGCAATGCCGATACATAACAAAGGGCCAACCATAGGCAGCTATTGAAAGTCTTAGAAAATGACGAGCATTTTCTAAATTCATCCATTTCGGGGCGAATACAAATATTTTGTGAACATCTGTAACAAAAAGAGAAAAACCTTCAGATTTTCCTAAGTGCGGAACTTTTTCGTAAAATTTTGATACGAATGTAGGGACGTAGCGACGGGTAGACCCATGTGGGATAAGGCCTAAGCCCACTCATTGAATGTTGACCCATCCTTTATAATCGTAAAATTTAATTGTTTATTTCTCCTACCTATATTCTAATTTGCTGGGATTATCACGGAACTCAAAGGGTTATATGGAACTTAAAATCTACAATGGTGTGGACCACCCTTGGCCTAGATACAGGGACGTAGCTGCGGGTAGGCACGGGTAGGTCAAGAACTATCCATTGAAAGTTCTGGTCCATGTCCTACGTCACTCTGAATAATCTGGACTTGATATGACGTAAAATTTAAACTCGCAAGCATTCAACTTCACACAACTCAAAACATTTAATGTTTCAAAAACATCTATTACTTATAACCAAGAAAATTTCACTACCAGCTCAAAGAATAGTGAAAAATAGAAGGGAAATAAGCATTTGGATTAAGATATTTTTTACTTTTCTGTGGGATTATCATGGAACTCAATATGTCTTGAGTTTTGTGAGAATACTTGTGGTGTTACTTTGCCAACTTGAGTCATTTCGAAATTAAAGTCTACAACAACACCCTTGGTCCATGCAAGAACAAAGCTTAACTACATCTCTGTAAGAATTAATTTCTTGTATTTCCCTAATAAATTATAGAAAAAGTCCCAATGTCACGTTCTTGTTCTTAGTACCCACATTAGGTATTATCTCAATTTAATTTCCTGTTAGATACTTTTAAAAATAACATAACATAGATAATTTTTGGTATGAAGAGGTCTCAGTAAAAAGGATTTTCTGATATGTATAGATAGACTTGTTGAATTCCTTTTAACGTTAAATGCACTTCACTGAATCACTTTCACCTCTTAATGTGCTCGGTATCTTCAACAAGTATCGATGATTTGCATTAAACTAGGAAAGCGTAATTAAAGTGATGGGAATGATTATGCAAGGATAGATCACATTATGCATGCAATTAATACCTAAGTAGTTTAACACGTACGCTCTTTAAATTGTCCTTTAACAAACAAATACGATAATAGAGTTTTGCGATTATCCAAGTATATTTGACCTTCTTTTTATTTTTCGTTTTGTTTTATTTAAATATTCGCAGAAATAGTAAAATAACAATTAGAAATAAAGTGCAAAACTATTATAATTAACCGAACGACAGTTAATTGGGTCCATGTACAATTAAAATTGATTAATAATTTACAATGAATATCAGAATTAAGACAAGGCTTGTTTATAAATGGAACTGTCCGTATCTAACACCTAAAAGCATTTTAATGATAGGTTTCCCTTGAAATAAATAAGTGAAAAATTGAGAACACGTTTACTTTTAGTTTTTACTATTCGCAAAGCAACTACTTCGCTGGGTGTTATCTCCCATAGCCCTACCTCTATTAATTTAATTTGCATCACTTCAGAAACAGCTATTTTATTTAAAAAAAAAGAAAAATTGGGAGTTTCGTTCTTAGGCTAGGTATATAGACGTTTCACCAAGCTATATCCAAATACTGGCTGGCCAATTTTATGTTAGTATCGTTTATTAAGTCTTGACACAATATTGGCTCTCCAATTCAGAGTTAATGTTGTTCACCGAGTCTTGGTACCATATTGGCTGCCCAATTTTATGTTAAAATCGTTTGGCTGCCCAATCTTGGGCTAGTATTGCGCAGTATTGGCTGTCTAGCCAAACCAAGCCTGCCAACTAGTGACAAACCAGACATTTGCCATGCTTGGTCCAATATTGGTTGCCAATCTCGGACTAGAATTGAACAATTTTAGGCCAAGCTTGGTTCTGTCGTAATTTCCTACAAGGGTAATCTAGGTCTAAATCAATTTCGACCCTTCGCAATGCCGAAACGTGTACTAAATTGGGATTGATTTAGTTTTCGATCAATCAATGGCCAAAATTAGAATCCGTTTCGAGGTTTGCTAAAAGGCGTTCGTCAAAGCGGGGAGCTACATACTAATCTTTGCCACTACAACATATGTAAAACAAGTGAAGAAAAGGCGTAGTAAAATGGTAATAATGGTACCTGTAGTATATTTAAGATCGTCGTGTGATAACATTTGGATCCTCCTCATTTCCCTGGTTTCTTTTTTTTGTTTGACTCGTAGTAAAATACACCCAGCCAGGACATCTGAAGGGACCAAGTCAGTGCTCCTGAAAAGATCACTAAGCAAGGCTGCAACTTGCCGAAAGGCTTCGTTACCATATTCGTCAGATCGCATCCAACAAAAGGCCCATCTGTAACAAAATTGTAACATCCGCTGTTATTAAAACCACAATAAGCATTTGGCGATTGCTTCAGCTTCTGATACAAGATTGAAACGAATTGTCATCCATATTAAATTAAATTAAGAACTCTTTGTTTTAAAGGATTTATTACAGAAAGAACACGATAATTGTTTCTCCGTAGATTCCTCATGAAAATCCTTCCAAAAAAAGTGGTGATACTAAAATGAAGATTGCCTTATGGGTTTTTTATATGGGTCTTAAGGGGCAATGTATAAACTTACAAGGACGCTCGATGAGGTAAAATAAAAAAAAAAAATAATCTCCTTGCCCAATTATGTCGTCGTTTCAATGAAATCTTTTACATTTGCAACGATCCAACAAGTGAACTTCCTGATATTGTTATTATAAGACAACCGAAACCAGACGCATCGGATCGAACATCAATAAAACTATTGGAATTTAAAGTATTATTGACTACAAAACAGCCCAATAACACAATAGCAAACAAATTTTACAAATAAGTAAAATATGTACATATTGTATCTTTTTCATTATTAAAAAAGTTCATTTTTTCAAAAATTTTTAATGGGGTAACAATAATTTTTTCCTGCNGATGACAATGTAGTTAACACATTTTCTTAACAGTATTAATAAGTTAAGTTTTACTTTTAAAATTGTTGGTAAGTTAACATTGGGATTTTCGTCAAATGGGCATACACCATCTGGTGGCAAAATTTATAACTCGAATGAGGGAAAAATTTACATAGGAACTGTGCACGCAAATTGTAAAATTGTTTGTTAAAATAATAAAACCATACGCCATCTTCCTCACTTTTCGATCCAAGAAATTATTACAATGACATACGGCTAAGGAACGTCCATTAATATATGTCTATGCTTAGGATCTTAAGGTTCCAGTAGAAAAAAACAACACGAACGTATCCGACTAGACTTTATAAGGGGCGTGTAGCGTGCGGGCTTCATGTGGCTAATGAGGGGTACGCCGATATAGGAATTTCTCCGTAGATTCCTCATGAAAATCCCACCAAAAAAAAGGAGCATTGCCCTATGGGGTTTTTATGAGTCTTAAGAGTCAGACCTATCAGATGTATAAACATAGAATTAAATCTACCTTATAAGGGTTCGACGAGGCAAATCCGTTTTAAAATACTCTTGAATAAATGAAAAAACTTATAATAATAATACCCTTGACCAATTATGTCGTCGTTTCAATGAAATCTTTTACATTTGTAACGAACCAACAAGTGTACTTCCTGATATTGTTATTATAAGACAACTAAAACCAGACGCATCAGGTCGAACAACAGTAAAACGATTGCAATTTAGAGTATTATTAACTATAAAACAACCCTATAACATAATCTTACTTAAGAGCAAACAGATTTTACAAATAAGTGATACATGTGTATATTGTATTTTTTTTTTCATTAATAATAAAGTTCATTTTTTCAAAAATTTTTAATGGGGTAACAATAATTTTTTCCTGCGGAGGTCACATGCGGCATTCCTGATGATGCGCAAATGCGGCAAGGTGTTGTGTTATATACCCCTTCCTTGCCCTAGGGGGCAACCTCATGGGGCCCTACAAGAGCTAGTGTGGCTGCCCACTTAGGGGCTCTATCTGCACCCCGCTCAAAATTCTAGCCAGGTTGATGCTTGGCGAAACAATTGTAGTGCTTCTATTATAATATGCATAATAAACACATTAATAGTGCAATGCCTTTCTTTGTACTGAATCACTCTGTATAATATAATGTGTTTAAATCTATAATGCATAAAACACAAGTAAAAAAATTTATAAGAGTATAAAAGCAATTAGCAACGTTTTTGTTATTAGAGATAATTTAAGAAATGTTTGTAGTCAGAACAAACAGAATGAACGTCACGGCATTTTTTTTTAATTTTCTATTTAAAAGTGCCGTGTTTAATTATGCATGTGTAAAGTTGGCAAACAAATTCCACAACCCGTTATATGTTATCTGACACATGGATAGAGCGTTTAAAAACAATTTCATCAATTGAAAATTTCTGACGCTGCTCGTCCTTTCAAGGAAAACACAACACGCAACTCGATTCGACGATAATCACAGTCAGTAATAGATAAATTGCTTTTAGAAAAGACCAGAATACTTTCTTCTAGGCATAATTTAGCATTTTAATGAATTTCTTGGTTTCTTGTAATAGAAAATTAAAAAGGCTAAACCCTATCAAAATGATAAAAAGAGATGAAAAGTCAAGATACAGAATTCATAGAGATTACTTTTGAAAAATTTGTCTATTTGTGCCAGCATCAAACATTCGGATGCAGCTTTTTGTAACATTTAATTTTTATTGAGTTTGAATTTTGTGGTTGTTGTTAACCCTTAGTATTTCAGTTGAAAAACTAGTCTCACCTAAATCTTCGTTGCCATAAGCTGGTTGCCTTTCGATGGCGTAGAGATTCTCCACCACCCGGAGTTTCCTGGATCTCATGGTAGCGTTTAGATCCCAATGGATCGAAAACAAGGGCAAACCCAAATATTGCTAGCCCAAATAATGTCCAATTTAATAATGTAAGAGCTGAAACAAAACGAAAAAGTGCAACTGAAATTATCATCAAATTATATTATTAAAATTAAGAACTCGTACGTAACGTATGTTCCTCTTTTTAGTAAAAACTTTGCAAGGAGTTAATCAAAATATGTTTGGCATCATAACTTCTTTTTATTAGGTCACAAGTACTTTATGTTGAAATAGTTAACTTCTGAATAGTTTTATATTTTTTTTAAAGCGTTATTTATAAAATGTTATAGGAAAAAGATTCAATAAAGTATAATGCATTATTCAAAAGTTTATCAGTCATACGTTACTCTTAGACTTTTGCCCATTTACGGACTATAAGGTATTGTTTCATTAAAATTCTCGAAATTATAGTTAATCATTTATTCATTAATTAGAATAGTTGTCATAATGAGTTTGATACAGTAGATTATTAGAATATTTTGCATTTTATGAGCATTGTTCTTACTACCCGGATATTACATAACATTTTTAGCTAACAATTGTCCATTATAATTGTAACCATCATTTTTTTTTTAATTATGTGATTTTGATCTGTGTTTTTTTTATTAATTTGTATCAAGTACCTTCTATCACAGTCTTTGAGAATTCCTCCTCGTGATGGCAGACGATAATGTCACCACAGAAGGCCCACATGGTACCGAAGATATTGAGCACCGTTTCTGGAAGGATTAGGAATATTTTAAGGAGAAGGAGAGGAGGTACATGCCTTCGGGCACTCTCGTCAGTAATTGAGCCCTGGGCACTGCGATTAACCAGGGCAATAAGAACCACAATTTGCACGACCAACAACACCACCATGCCATTGAGGTAGGCACGAATGTAATCTCCACCAGAATCGCACCTCCATGTGTGGTTGTAGTATCTCACATAAACTAACGCTATTAGAATTAGCCTGGAACAAAAGAAAACTCAATTGGAAATTTGTAATTGTTTAATAAAAATTATTATCTGTAAATAGGTTTGTGTCGTTATTATTATTCAACTTAGGGAAGATTACTAACAAATTCAACTCATTTAACGCCGAAGGAGTTCAAAGTGGTTTTGTTAATTTTCACCTTTCTTATGATATACATTTCATTTCTTTGCTGTTATATTGGATATCGGAAAAATGTATCAGAAATTTAGATGTTCACATATAAATAAATAAAAGAAGATAGGGACCATACAGATTACATTTTTTTCCTTATAAATTGCTTATTTTTTTTCACAAAACCCCCTAAAACTCAAGTAAATGAGAAATTATAATGTTCTACACATTTCACGTTAAAAAAAATTAATGAGAGACTAAAACATTTGACTACCATCAAGGATCATATATCTAAACTAAAAAGTAAAAAATAAATTACTGGGAAAAACAAAATGTAATTTTATTCCGAGAANATCAATTATGGTCTTTTTTTGGTTAAATTCCATATAATTGAAGATTAAACAAACTTCTTTCGAATAAATAACGTTACTTATAAACTTCTGGAATTTTGAGGGCTTCAATAAATGTAATCGAATATTACAGGATATTATTTGTAATAAAACGGGGAATAATTGGTAAAATTATTTTTGTGGAAATTCTTTTTTTCTAAATTTGGGCTTACTGTTATGCCATTGAAATTGTTGCTACTTATTGTGTGTATATCTGCCGATTTATTGCAACATGTATACGTAAAACTAGAAAGCAATCAAGTTAAGTGATCGAACAGGTGCAGTGTTGGTCTTTCGTCTTATTTGTAACCTAAATTCTTGTCTTTTAATGACTCTGAACTACAGTTTTTATTTGCATGTTCCATGAACAAATTTAAATTAATTTATTTACCAAAAATCGTTTTTTCTTCATATTTACGTTATTGAGAGTACATTTTGAGAAAAACGTTAAGAAAAAATACGCACATGTACAGAGCTTTGAAAAGGTTTTATAATATTAACGACTAAAATTCACATGTAAATAAAATATGTTCTACTGTAGTTCGTGAGCAACTTGAAACACTTGCTCCTTGTTAGCTATTACATGGCTCTGAAGACGTTCGAAACACAGTTTACAAAAGCTTACAAAGAATACCATCAATTTAATATGCTGCCCCGATTCGGGTCTAAAAGTCGTTGTCATTTGGAGTTCCTCCCTAACGTTTCGCTAGCACAAATGGCCAACTTCTTCAGAGGTCTTTTCACACCCAGCATCGCAGACCTCTAAAGAAGACCAACTAAATTTACATCTTAATGCTTATTGAGAAGATAAGACAGTCTAAGGGAAATTCAACAGCCAGTTAAAGCGCGGGAATGACACCCGAATCGCAAGGCAAAAATATTTACTTCTTTCTGGGAATGCGATACGCTTTATCTAGTTTAATGGTCATTAAGGTCATTAAATATATTTATTTAGGACGCCTGGTATATGTACTACCAGACAGCAAGTGATTAGTAATTGACACAAGCAATTCAAGCGACACTAAAAACTATTCTTCGACAAATTTTTCCGCTTAGAAAGCTGTCGTTCTCACCTTGGAGAAGTCTAGATGGTAGAATCTTATTACTCTACTACTGGAAGGTTTATTACTCTTGAAGAAATCCCTTTAGCACATGAACATTTGCTTCCGGAATATAGTCTTAAAGAGTTACTTAAGAAAAATTGATTACCGGTTATAAGTAATCCGATGACAATTATTTAGGAAAATTTTCTGGTTTAGTTAATTACTTTATTTTCCATGAATAAATTGGTACTTGCTTATAAATGTCAACGTTTTTTGTACGCAATTTAAACGCCTTGAAAAAGTTGCTTTTAATTGATGTCCATTTTTTTCTAATTCATGAAATTACCAGTATAATAGTCACAGATGACATAATATGTTTACACCACCTGAAGCACTTTTAATTACCATTTATTGAGAAAATAGTAAATTTTATTTCGGTATTAACTAAACTATGTACAGAATATGGAAAAACTACCTAATTCTTTTCCTAAGACTGTAAATTACTATCGCCTTGTATTTTATTTAACCTTAAATTATAATTTTCAAATATAACCGTTAAGGTTTTATGGGTCACACGGATAAAAAAACTTGGTCATAATCATTAAAAAAATGTCAACTCAAGACAATGCAATGACTGTAATAATAAAAACACTTAACCTGCTTTAATTTAAATTATAATGATACATACTTTCTGGTACGTTTTGTTAGCTAAATATTACGTACTGAACGAGAATATAAAGTACCCACATTCATTAATCACAAAAATAAACAAAAGAAGATTTACTTCTAAAGAAATAAATGTATCTGTATTTTGTAGAATGCCCTACCAGAATTAGGGAAATATGATAAGAAATATAAATGGATTTCCTGTATTTCCTATGTATTCTTCAACGCTATTACTTTTCAAAAAAGCCTTTTACCGGATATCCCCAACCCTAACGTCCTGGGTGAACGAACTTCCGGTAACTTGTCATAATATCGCTGCACAAATTAAAACATTACAATTAATCTTTAAATGATATTGTGTTTGCGGAAAAGCTCTGAAGTTATAGATCCTTGTAAGGTCAATTACAACCACGCAAGGTTAAGGTCACACAAAGCATTCCGTTGGTTGGCTGGAATCCAATTTATCGAAGCTTATTGCTGTTGAAAATGCCACTCAAAAGATACTCCTCTCAGCCACTTGCTCTGGAATGTTTTTGGGACATATATTAAAAACTGATTCTGCTCCACAAGATTCTTACAAACAAATATGTAAAAGCATCTTTTACAAAACGAGAAAGTACCTAAATTCCAATAATAATATAAAAATACCCGTTGTAATATCCCTTTAGGAAGAATATGCAAAAGATGTACCCGTAGAAATGCCTATATGATTATTAAATCAAGAATGAATAACAAGGGACATGCCTTTATTGAGAGTACACAGAGACAAATGAGAAAGGAAGCACAATTTTAAAAAAATGTGCAAATGTCATTTCATGTGGGGGTAATTAATTATATAATATTAGGATTGTATTTAATTCTATTTTAGGAATATACGGACAGCATATATGTTATTTATTATTTTGTCAAACTTCGCCCATTTCATAATTCTGATCTATGCGGTAGGAATGCAGAATTGCAAAATTTTTAATTTAGTAGATACTCACGCAGCTAGATAATTACTCCTGAAAATTACAAGCTCGGTCGAAACAACCGCAATTTGCCGTTACTTGCAACGAATATTTTCTTTGATTATAATTAACTATGTTTCATTCCAACAATGCACCACCACTCCTCATTAATGACATTTATTAAATTTTTCCTCGCCTTGAATTAGGAACTACTACTTCTTATTCTCAAAATTACGAATTCTATATGCGCCCTTGCAAATCTCAAGAATGGAAGTGGAACAAATATTTTAGTGGACTTCCACCCTCGGACAAATTCAATCAAATAGCATAACGTTCAGAATATTGTTATCGGAAAACGTGACGACCGAAAAGATTTTCTATACGCCCCAGTTTTCAAACAAAAAAAGTGTATAAAAATTTTCCAACCGATAAATTTTAAAATGAGAAAATTTTTGTTTACGTGCTGAAGTTTATCGAATAAGAAAAATAAGCCGACCCAGTGTTAGTTAGATTGTAGTGGAAAATCGCGAATTTCTCAAAACCAATAAGTCTAGAACCTACGCTTCTTTTCCTGGAAAGTGCAGATAAAATGGCAGATTTATTTGTGACACACGTACACTCAATTATTTTAAAGGTCTCTGTTTTTCCTTAAAAGTAGAACATCCCACATTTCCAACTTTTTGCGTAAAATAATTCAATCTGGATCTTGCTATGCCTCTCTTTACTTTTGCTTCGGCTTCTAATGTCTCTAACCCTTCATTTCTTAGAAGATGTTCTATTGCCTTGTAACCTTTGACTCCGCAGGATAAAACTATATGGAATGTCTTCAAAATTATGCATTTTTTACAAACATTTCATTTTCATTTTCATGTCACACATATAGAGCACACGCAAGAGGCATTTTCTTTTTTTTTCGGTGAAGTTCTTATGATGGTGCACAACAATTAAGTTGCTTGTGCTTTGTGTTCTACATGAAATACTGCTGTAAAATACATCCAATATATTTTTTTTTAGTTAATTAGAAAATTAGGCTTTAAAATACAAGAAGTGCTTGATTTAGTACGTATAGGCCCTTAAGGCTCGAACTTCATCATCATTATAATGTCGTCAGTCCTAAGACTGGTTGGACACGTACGTCCACTCTTTCCTATCCTGAGCTAAACTTCGCATTTCCCTAAACCTAGAACAGCCCACATCCTTAACTATTTGCGAACAGTAATCTAATCTAGGTTTACCTCTACCCCTCCTAACTCCTGTTTCTACCTCTAATATGTCTCTGACTAGACCTTCATGCCTGAGAAGGTGTCCTACCAACCTATCTCGCCTACTTTTTATTGACTTCCATAGAGTCCTCTGTTCTCCTATTCTTTCCAATACCTCTTCATTTCTAACCTTTTCTACCCACGATATCCTCATCATCCGCCTATAACACCACATTTCGAACGCTTCTAACCTTTTCTTTTCCGCCGCTCCCACTGTCCATGTTTCGCACCCGTACAACGCCGTGCTCCAAACATACACCTTTAACAACCTTTTTCGAATTTCTAAATTAACCGTTCGCGAGCATAGAAGTGACTTCTTTTTATTAAAGGCGACACGACCCTGCGCTATCCTCTGCTTTATATCCCTACTACTCCTTCCATCCTCACTTATCTGACTTCCTAGGTATCTAAAATCAGCCACTTCTTCTAATTTTTCGTCTCCTATCTTTATATTCGCTCTTTCCCTACTTTTTCTTCCCTTGCATATCAGTATTTTAGTTTTACTTTTATTTATTTTCATACAGTACTGATCTGTCAGTACCGCTTCCATTTTATTTAAAGCTATCCCTAGGACCTCCTTCCTAGATGCTAATACTGAACTTACAAGGCGCCAAAATTATAGGGGGCGAGAAATATTTGTCTTTTATCGACTATCTTCCATTAAGCGTATGTAGTTTCTTTTTATTCGTAGTATTGTTTCATTTTTTGTATCTTATAACGGACTATTATTTTGTCAATTTTTGTTTTATCAGATTGTTTTTTCAAAAGTACATAACTCACATTTTAGACGGTAAACCATCAAAACCACATAATAAAGTGATTTTTCTTTAGACCATCACTTTAAAACCCATTATAAAAATAATTATTTATACTGACCTTAATGTATAAGCAATCTATGCACAACTAACAGCCTACCATGTTATTAAAAATAGTATGTCAATGTCAGCTGGTACTAAACCATTTTGTTTTAAAAAGCGTCAAAGAATTTTTACCATCTATTTGATGAATCATGCAGTTTTTGAAGGATGTCTTCAATTTCTCTTTCGAAAAAATAGTGTTAACGTCAGCAAAATTCTGTAAACTGCCGTTGCAGTTAATTCAAATAAACAATTGTTAAGTGCACTAAAGAGCAAATACGGAAAACGGTTAAAAAAAATCACTAGGTCACAGACAGAAAATCCTTCAAGGAGTTTTGTATTTTGCAATTCTTTTGTTTTAAGTACGTAAAAACATATTATATTTTTTATGTTATTAACAAACCAATACAACAGTGATTTGTTGATAAGAACTTGTAAAAGAACCCATAAAACTAATAATAATTGATCTGTATAATAATAAAACAAATTGTAGGAGTCAAAACCAACATGGGAGCAAAGAGGCTTCTTTATAACTACCGACACCAATTTTTTATCTTTTTCTTATAAAGATGATAATTGGAAATTAGATTGTATTGGAATAAGTAGTTTGTCCTAATTTGTATTATTTATTAATTACTAAACTAAATTATTCGTTGTTTTAATATAGTTCTTGCGTTTACTTTTCTCCAGTGGACAATAAAGCATCAGTATGACCGAATTATTACAATTTCTGTCGCTTGTTGGTATATCATAACTTATTAGTATGATTTTGCCAGCTTGCAAAGACTTTTGAAGTCTTTAAACATCACCTATAAGCTCGTTTCAACGGTTTCAACTTCCATCTCGTTGAAAATCCGCAAAACCAAGAATTAAAATTTCATTACTTTACTGTTTAAACGACTTTTCGAACCGAACTTAATGTGGTTTGACACGTAGCTTAGGGTGGTATTAAATAGAAAGATCGTCTGAAGGAAGACATGAACTATTAACCGTAATGGTTTTGTTGGGTGCCCGGTTATCGGATACCCAGCAAAATCGCTAACTGGTGCATCTCTAGTTATGACTAGGTGTTCTACCATCGTTTCTCTCATCTTCCTGATTAACTTTCATAGAGCTTTCTTGTTCCTACTTGTTCGAATCAAGATCAAATACACAGTATTTTCCTCATCCATCATTTTTTTCATTCTGATTACTCTGTTTCTAGTCCAACAATTCCTTATCGCACGGTAATCCTTATGGTAAGGAGCTAGCCAACAAAAATCAGCAATGATAGGTAAATTTCTTTTTATTATTTTGGTTTTGTCCCGAAATTTCCTTGCATTTCCCCACAAATTTTTATGGAGAAAAAGGAATATTTAAAAAAAATCAATAGGCATAAAAAAGGAAGACCTATTCTTTCTTTAGTTATTCACAAGTATTTCGGGAAATGCAGGTAACCCTTAAATAACAGGAATTCATTTGATGCAAAAATTAAATTACTTTATAAANATCGGATTGATTACAATAATTCATTAAAGAAACTAAGGATATTTATTTATTCCGTTTATTTTTGATACGTAAGACTATTTAATAAAATCTTCAAAATCTGAAAAGGATCAACGCTCAATGTTTGCTATCACAAATTCGATACCTAGAGTTATTAATCGCCATGGAAATCCCTGTAGACGTAGATGGATTTGAAAGAGCTGAATATAGCTCACTGCACGAAAAAGCTGTTCAATAAAAGATTAATCCTGATGAATGAACGAAATCCCGTGGAATCTTGTGTGCATGTACGATGAAAAACCAAGCAACCATGAATAAATTATTTATTACAAATTACAAATTAAGAATTAGCAAAAAAGAATATCACAAAAATACACGCCATGTAGTAAAAAATAAATAAAAACTCCACGTTTTAATTCAATTTGTGTGGAAATTAACAATCTATAACACTAAATTTCAAACGTTTCTAACTTTCTATTTTCTGTAGCGTCAACCGTTTACGTTTCGCACCGATATAGAGCCGTGCTCTAAGCATACAATTTTTTTATTCTCCATTCTGTCCCTGTTTGTTAGGTACTCAATATGAAATCAAAGCCGGGAGGGGTTAAAAGTTATTTATTTTTTAAAAAACAACCGCCAACGTTTCGTCTTGTCTGTTGATTTTTCACAAAACTATTTTTAATATAGTTAATAAAGATACAAAGCTATTAAAAGCATCAAAAAATCATTGAATACAGTTGCATCTCTTTCTCTTTGACTTTCTTCTAAACATGTTAAGTTTACGTAATTATTGTACTGGTTCACTAGGTCACGAGGACGCATTCTTCTTTAAGAAACAAGCCGGTTCAAATGTCAGCATCATAGGTCGTTGTGTTTGGTCGAAGAGTTGCACTAAACATAAGTGAAAACTCCTACATAACATTTTCTTTTCTTGAAAACTATCAACTGTGCTTGAAAGTATGCACTTAAGTACAGTGAAAGAGCGCAATACCGCACCTTGTCCTAATTTTTGGTTTACTATAGACACATGTGTACATTCAAGTCGAAGTTTACGTTTGTTGAGACAATATAAAAAGTTGGTATCATTGTTAAGGGTAATCGTTACAAAGACTTACCATACGACACGAAAAGTTATCTCGAATAGACCTGGAATGACTAGATCATCTGAAGCTGCTAACCATTTTCTACCGAACAGCCGAATAGCAGGCATTACTTGCCAACCTTTAACAAGAAAAAATATCATAAGCATTCAAAACTTTCTCGTTGTTTTATAAGAATATGTTATGGACTAGTTACTGTCTTGGGTCGCATTCATGTACCAGCAATAATAATTATTAAATAGATATGTTTACAAATAAATGCACCTAAATTCAACAATTTACGAACAAGCGTGTTATGTAATACAGAAATTACCAATAATACGCACTTATAATGGTGCTAGGAGTGCAAAATCGGTGCTAAAAGTAATAACAAACGTATTAAACTGACATTAGCAATTAAAGATAAATTCATAAAAATAACTTTAAAACATTAGTGTCATGCAATGCAATAAATGTTTTAATTATTGCCGTCATTCTTCGTTATTTCTGCATTACCGCTTCTTCATGTGCAAAATTTAAACAGATCCTGAAAACAAATAGTGATGATTGGTGACCAAAGTAAGTCTTTATTTTAACAAGATCAAGAACCAATAACTGTTTCTAAAAAATAAAAAATAAATTGCAAAAATCTCATTAATTGAAATATAGAACAAACTGTTTTGGTAATGCAACTGATAGCTTTTCAAAATAGTTACCAAAAAGCTCTGATATTTACTGATGGAACCTCTTACTCAATCAAAAATAGATCATTAGTCATTCTTTTAATGATAGCTTTATGAGTCAAAACTTGTTAATAATTTTAATAAATTAAGTGAAAGTTAACAGAAACTGTTATTTCTACAAATATCAGAAAAATAGGCTCTTAATGATTTTTTAAATATTACGTAATGTAAAAATACCTAATTAAAAAAATTAAAATTCTTACCCATTAAGAGCAGTTCAACTGAGAAAATTGTCTGTATTAGATCAAAACTAATTTTAAGAGGACAAAAATGAATATGCGAAATGAAAATAAATACCAAGCGCGACATAGTCTTCTTAATCAAATAAAATATAATAACCTCTATACTTGGAATCAAAAAGTGATATTCTAAAACGAGATGAACATTCATCATAAAAATAACCAAGGCTATTTTTTATCAAGCTAACGAAAAAGATTGGAAAGAAATTTTAAACAAAGTAAAGAATGTGAAAGTTTTAGTTAGTTAGTGGTTATTATTGTGTTTCGGCCAGTCAGGTGAAAATATATTACGAAAGTAAAAAGTAAATATTACTTTAATTTGGTTCCTGTATCACCTTGCAACGGCCTTGTATACGCAAGGCAAATTATAATCAACCAAAAGGTTTAGTCGATTGAAGCACTAAAAAAATCCTTCAAATTTCGATAAATATTTTAATATTTAACAGAAAATATTAATTGCTACACCTTCATATTTCTTCATTTTAACAAACTCCAAGTTAGATAAAGTTGAGTTATAAGAAGTTAAAAATCTTTTTTATGATGGCGTGGCGACAACTAATACGTATTTTGCAAACAATCACAAATTCAGCTTTAATGGATGCAATTCTAATAACATGCAAACCAAAAATGTGTAAGCATTTATTCAATTTAATTATTTTTTCGTTACAACTGAACTGATTAGAAGACTGGTCAATAATCCAATAAACACTTTACTGTTACTAAAGCTGTAATGCATAATACTATAAATGGCATAATTCAGAAAAAGAAAATTATTTCAATCCTATGTTTACTGGAGTTACCCTAATTTACAGAAATTCAATGTTGTTGAGTTGTATCATTAATTAATTTATTGGATATAATTCACGATCATAATCGGGTATTTATACTAATACATATTATACAAAGGTAACGTCTCTAAAACTACTCATCCGATTTCAAAATTTCTTTCACTAATATTTAGAATGGACCTTCAGGACGGAGAGAAGCTAAATTCCATAAGGACTATTAGTGTTAGGCAGTATATTTTAATACTTACGATTGCGAAATGCCCAACTGCGAGAAATCGGACTTTTTCGCGCAAAATTCTATAGCGCATGTTGGTCACGCACGCGTGAACCGTTTGACCACTTGTTCCGCACTCTCTTTCGTTTTTTAGTAAGCTTAAGTTTGTAAAAGTCTGTGTTTCCTGCCAGCAAATGGAATAAAAGGAGTGCATACTAAAAATACGCCGATCAGTAATCAGCTACATGAATAAATTAGTTTTAGGATTAGAGTTTATTTTTTCTACGTAAGCAAACCATAAACCTTATTAACTACTACCTATATTTCATAGTGAAATGAAGAGAAAGGTAACAAAATATTAATCTGTCGTACATCTGTCGACATTATACATTACACATATGTTCTGGCAAATATTTAGGTCATAGGGGTTTGTATTTGCAAACTTCTGAAACATTGCTCCTGTACTCCGTAAGATAGACGTAAATTTATTTAATACCGTAAGTAAATTATAAAAAAAACACAAATAAAATGTAGTTTCAAAACAGATAAAATAGTCAGTTGCGCATTAAATAATAACACACATAAATGATTGTGCTAGCCAAAAAAATTAAAAAGAACGTAATTTGAAAAAAAAAGAAAAGAAAAATACTTTGGTTTACATACTTTATCAAAATATCTAAAATATTTATTGACTTCGCTTTGCAGACTACAGATTTTACGTTTTTTCAAAACTCATATTGTTTCCAATGTTGCATTGTGATCAATTTTGTATATCAACTGAATATTAAAATATAAACGATAATTACTTTTCTACTTATTTTTTATAAAGCGAGACAATTTCGTTTTGTTAGTTGTAACGAAACTTTCTAATATGAAGTCAATTTTCATTTGACAAAGCAGTATGCGAAGTTAGTTGTTCTGGATTATTTTATTTTCCGGAAATATGATGATGCGGCATAAAAAAAGATTAGTCGTAAAATATTTAATTCATCTTTAATGACCAGGTTATCGAACTTAATGTGTGAGAATACCAATAGCGTCGTCAATTTTTTAAAAAAGGTTACTTTTATATATGGTTCTAAAATTCGATCGGGAAATTCCGGAAAATTTGGAAAAAGTTTGGGAATTAGGAATGGATGATAGAAATTACGTATTATTATTAANAATTAACAGTGTGTAGATACCAACAGCCCCAAATGCCAATAGCGACTGTAGATTGTATTTAAGTATTTATAAATATACCTTTAAAATAGAAATTTCTATACCATACGTTATCGTATATGTTCTTATTATTTTTTTTAACTGGAAATAAACAATAATATTACGGCAACGTAATGAGTATAAAGTATAAAGTATTAAAAGGTATATATTTTCTAACTACTTTAAACCATTTCCAGTATTAAATATTAATCAACAGGAGTCGCAATACAATAAATTGCTATATAACTTTAATAACAGATTGCAAATAATGCTATGGTAACGTTATCGTATATTGTAAAGAAGAAAAAACTTTTTGTAAGAATAGCTCGTCTTTTTTGAATCAAGAAAATATTTTTTTTATAATTTAAATGATTTTAATAATCAACCGCTTGCTATCGGTTCACGACAGGGGATTTAAAGATATTCAATAAAAGGAAATAATAACTAAATATTCGTAAACTATTGTGAAAAGCAATGCTATAATAATTCTACAAAAAAAGCTTGTGTAATTAACTTGTAATAAAAGAAGATTATCGTACCATTAATATCACAATTAACGTACTGTTAAATGCTACATCAACAAGAACTTAAAACTATGAAAAAATATGTTTTTCCTTAACTTTTCGGTATACACCCAGCAAAATTTCTGGCTATTAAAACAAAAACATATGCATTAAAGCGGTTATTTTTTTAAAAAATAAATGATTGTTAACTCCTTTTGGCTTTAATTCACACTAATTATAAATAATGGACAATAATATACATCTACAAAAAGAAATAGCCAGATATTTGTGTCTCGAGAATTTAAGATTTCCTAAGAGCTTCATCTTCTTTTGCTACTTCAATCATAAATTTTAAATAAATGACAGCGAGACAAATCAAAATACATCAGAATTTGTTGAGATTAATCTTTAACACCTTTGAAAGAGAATTATGCCATGATCATAAAATTATTATTTGGTTATAGAATATAGCAGCATTTTTAAGAATGTGAATCGCACTGTAGTAGAAGAAACGTAAATAATAATCAACTATTACTTCAATTGCTTCTTATTTGAGTACATAATCTCATCGAGATTGCACGCTTGTAAAATTCAATACAGAAACTTTAATTGACCATTATTACATGGAACAAGATAAGAGCTTTGTCCAATCATTTCTCATTGAATCTCATTGAAGACAAGCAGTGAATTTTTTAATCAAATGGATGCCTATTTACTGTTAGAGACAGGACGAATGAAATACACAAAGGTTATTTCTTTATATTTCCCATTCGCTTCCTTAATAACATCATAAAATAAAATTAACTTATTAAGAATCATTATCAGAGAATTATATCATTGATTTCTTCTACTTTTTTCTTCTGTACTTATTGATTTACATAAAAAGGTTTAAAGACAGAGCGGTTTCTTCGTAAATGTACACAGGTATAAATAATTTAACTAATAATAGTTTCAAGAAACTTATTGGTTAACGCACATCAATATTGTTTTAATATTATATAATACCTACCCAGTCTTTTTAGGTGAATATGGGAATATACCTTTGTCGGTGGTGTACAGCACATCAAAGCAATTCCCACCATAACTTAACCGAAACCCTTAGGAGTATCGTAGTACTTAAAATTTATTAACTTATGTATGTAGTATGCAGCCAACTGTACACTCCAGTATAGACATTTAGACCTACTCATTTTTTTCCAATTGTTTTCTATATCTCGAATAAGGATGATTTATAATTAAAATTCTCATTGAACGATACATCCTGGATATTTAAAAATGTTACTCATCAGTTACTTCCAGAATATTGCGCTATCAGTTATCCTGTTTCTAAAGACTAATGTTATATTTTATACATTCGAGATTATGAATTAGTGCCAAGAAGTTACGACCTCAAAAACAATCGGGAGTTTCTTTGCATACAATGGCATATATTTAAATTAAAAAGAAATGGAATTA